AAACTCGTGTACATGTACATGTAATTCTAATTGCCCCCCTCACAGGTTCCTGGATTATTTGAAGCCGATGAATTCACGACCCTCATGACCCAGTGCAAGGAGGGGTCTCAAAAGGAAGGACTGATGCTTGATTCCTCCGAAGAACTTTACAAATGGTTTACCCATCAGATAATGAGAAACCTTCACGTGGTATTCACTATGAATCCTTCCTCTGAGGGTCTTAAAGACAGAGCTGCTACTTCTCCTGCTTTATTCAATCGTTGTGTGTTGAACTGGTTTGGTGATTGGTCCACTGATGCTCTGTATCAAGTTGGATATGAGTTTACTAATAAAGTTGACCTTGATAAATCAGACGTAAGTACATGTACACATATTAATACACTTATGTATATGTACACATACATGTATATGTAGTTATGTACACTCATGTACATGTACATGAATATATATAAACAAAGAATATAATATGCATGTATAAGTTTCAAGGAGCTTATAATGTTTATGCTACTTACGCATGTACATGTATGGGCATGATTTTATGTTTTTTTTTCAATTTATATATACATGTATTTCATCTCTAACTCTCTCTCTCTCTCTCTCTCTCTCTCTCTCTCTCTCTCTCTCTCTCTCTCTCTCTCTCTCTCTCCCTCCCTCCCTCTCCCTCTCTCTCTCTCTCTCTCCTCCAGTATATTCCTCCTGATAGGGTTCCTGTGGTATATCCTGATCTTCCCATGCCTCCTACTCACAGACAGTCTATTGTGAATGCTTTTGTATACGTTCATCAGACGCTCTATCAAGCTAACACCAGCCTACAGAAGAGAGGAGGGAGGACAATGGCCATAACACCAAGACACTATCTTGATTTCATCAATCATTATGTGAGTGATTGGAATCAGTGATTTGATCAATTTGATTTGATTTGATTCTTGATCAATGATACAGTATAGCCTCTATATAATGAACACTCCTATAACATACACCTCCATTTAACGGACAGCACCTAGTGTACCAATTACATTCCTTACTGTATAAAATAACATCCACATAAAGGACACCTCTGTATAACAGAGCAACTCTCTTGTCCCAAAGCATCCATTATATAAAGGCTACAATGTATTAACTCTTGCTATTACCAGTGCCTTTTCTTTCTCTTTTAGGTTAAACTCTACAATGAAAAGAGACAAGATCTTGAGGAGCAGCAACTACATTTAAATGTCGGTCTCCAAAAAATACGAGAGACCGTAGAACAAGTAGAAGAATTACAAGCCAGCCTCTCTATAAAGAAGAACGAGCTAGAGCAAAAGAACACGCTAGCGAACCAGAAACTGAAACAGATGGTCCACGATCAGCAAGAGGCCGAGAAAAAGAAGATAACGTCACAGGAGATACAGGAGGCTCTTAAGGTAGGCGTGGTCAGGGGTGTGGCTTGTTTTCTCAATGATGAGTGTATCATGACGGTCTTCTTAATATTAAATTGATGAGACGGATTAATTATATATACACTGAGAGAAAATTAATTTATAATTATAAATCTGTTTATTATTTATTTTTTATATATACATGTACATGTACACCGTGTACGCTGAAAGAAAATTAATTTATTATTATTGCTTAAATTTGTGTTTTATTATTATTATTATTATTTATTTTGAAGGTTCAAACTCATGATATTGCTCAAAAGAAGGACATTGTGCTCAATGATTTGTCCAAAGTGGAACCAGCTGTCAAAGAGGCTCAGCAAGGTAATTAGTGGGCGTGGTTGTAGGTGTGGCCTGTTCCCAATGATGAACACATCATGACGGTCTTCATAATTATGATGATGAGTCAATTCAGTTTTAACTGAGGGAGCAAAAATTTGCATGACAGCCCAATAAAATTATTTTGCAATCATATCTACTATTATTATTATTAATTTTATTATTATTATTATTATTATTACTATTCCTATTTCTTTTTTGCAGCTGTGAAGGGAATTAAGAAGTCCCACCTAGTTGAAGTGAGGGCTCTGAACAATCCCCATCAGGTCATCAAGATGGCACTGGAAAGTATCTGCATGCTAATCGGAGAACCTTACACTGACTGGAAGAGTATCAGACAGATTATAATGAAGGAGAACTTTATACCTACCATTGCTAACTTCTCTACCGAAGACATAACTGATGACGCTAGGAATAAAATGAAGAGAGATTACATGTCACATAAAGAGTATAACTTTGAGACTGTTAATCATGCTAGTAAAGCTTGTGGGCCTTTGGTGAAATGGGCCATTGCTCAGGTGAGAGAGAGAGGGGGGGTGTTGTAGTTAAAGTCTGATTTTAATTGTGTATATGGAATTTAGTGATGCATATACATGTTCTTATGATGTGTAGAAAGTTTGAGCTGATTCCAATTTAATTTGGATTTTTTATGAATTTAAAAGTTGCTCAAAAATTGGGTCAAAGTTCCTGTACTGTAGTACAGGGGCGTCTGCCAAATTTTGCCAAAAATGTCAAGTTAAAAATTTTTGGTTTTTATAATATGTTCTGATACATATACAAGTTTTTATGTTGTGTAGAAAGTTTGAGGTGTTTCCGATCAAATTTGAATTTTTTACGAATTTTTAAAGTTGCTCAAAAATCAGGTCAAAGTCCCTGTACTATAGTACAGGGGCGTCAGCCAAATTTTGCCAAAAATTTCAAGTTGAGAATTCTCAATTTTTATAACATTTTCTGATACATATACAAGTTCTTATGTTGTGTAGAAAGTTTGAGGTGTTTCCGATCAAATTTGGATTTTTTACGAATTTTTAAAGTTGCTCAAAAATCAGGTCAAAGTCCCTGTACTATAGTAGAGGGGCGTCAGCCAGATTTTGCCAAAAATGTCAAGTAGAGAATTCTCAATTTTTATAACATTTTCTGATACATATACAAGTTCTTATGTTGTGTAGAAAGTTTGAGGTGTTTCTGATCAAATTTGGATTTTTTACGAATTTTTTGAGTTGCTCAAAAATTGGGTCAAAGTCCCTGTACTATAGTAGAGGGGCGTCAGCCAGATTTTGCCAAAAATGTCAAGTAGAGAATTCTCAATCTTTATAACATTTTCTGATACATATACAAGTTCTTATGTTGTGTAGAAAGTTTGAGGTGTTTCCGATCAAATTTGGATTTTTTACGAATTTTTTAAGTTGCTCAAGAAAGCCATGTACCAGAAAAACTCAAATATAGCCAAACTCCCAAATGCTTCTGAAGTGCTAGAATTAATACACACAATTAAAAGTAAACTTAAGGCATTTTTATTCATGTTATTTCTTTATAATAATTTTTTACCTTATTGTATTGATGATATTGTATCCTCTTTTCTCTCTCCTTCAGTTGAGTTATGCTGACATGTTGAAGAGGGTTGATCCGTTACGTAAAGAACTGAAGGATTTGGAAACCAAAGCTGAAGAAACTCGTCATAAAGGAGAACAAATAACAAAAATAATATCAGAACTTGAAGCCTCTATAGCAAAGTACACAAAGCAAAAAATATATTAAAATTATATTTTAAATGTTTTTTTTTTTTTTAATTTCTAGATATAAAGAAGAATATGCCATGCTTATTTCTGATGCAAATGTTATTAAGAATGATTTATCAACTGTTGAGAAAAAGGTAACGTATTTTTTTAATAATTAAAAATGTATAATATTATTAAAAATATTAAAGATATTTTAAGCACCAATGCATACATGTATCTAGTTAAAAAATAGTTGTACTATAATCTCTACATGTATTAAGTTATTATCATTAATAGGTTGATAGGAGCAAGGCACTACTGACCAGTCTCAGTGGAGAGAGGGAGCGTTGGAACACAGGGAGCGAAACATTCAAGACTCAAATGTCTACAATCAGTGGAGATGTATTGCTGACGTCAGCATTCATGGCTTATGGAGGTTACTTTGATCAACAGTTTCGTCACAGTCTCTTCACCTCTTGGGCCACTCACCTCCAGGAGGCTAGGATATCTTTTAGACCTGATCTAGCAAGAGTTGAAGTAAATTGAATATTTTAATTTTGAATTGATACATCTAGCAAAACTGGTATAATGTTGATACTAGTTGTATGTTTTTTTTGAAGTTTTTTTAGGAACAATTGGCATATTTTATAATGGCTGTAGCATTTATAAAATCAAAGAAAATAATGGCTTTTTTGTCGCAATTTTTTGTTTATTCTTATCCTTTATTTTTTATTATTTATAACTTATATGTTGCCACTTTTTCTAATAATAATCCTTGATAATATTAATTTCATCTTTATTATTTTATTATTTTCTCTCTAGTATTTATCTAATGCAGATGAGAGACTAAGATGGCTTGCTAACTCATTACCAGCTGATGATCTCTGCACTGAGAATGCCATCATGATCAAGAGATTCAACAGGTATCCACTGGTAGTCGATCCGTCCGGTCAAGCAACCGAATTTATTATGAACGAGTACAAAGACAAGAAGATTACCAAAACAAGGTAAAGGAACTCTCTCTCTCCCCTTTTCTCTTGTGAATTTCAGCAATTTATTTTTTAATATTTTTACCCTCCTAATAGTTTCCTTGATGATGCTTTCCGTAAGAATCTAGAGAGTGCCCTTCGTTTTGGTAACCCGCTACTGGTGCAGGTAAGAGCTAAGAACCCTGTCACGAACCACTCTCATTATTTCATACTCAATCTCTCTAGGACGTTGAGAGTTACGACCCAATCCTGAACCCTGTCCTTAATAGAGAAGTAAAGAAGACTGGAGGACGTGTTCTTATAACTCTTGGAGATCAGGAGATTGACTTGTCACCTTCTTTCACCATTTTCCTTTCAACGAGGGATCCTTCTGTTGAATTCCCACCTGATCTTTGTTCAAGGGTTACTTTTGTTAATTTCACCGTCACAAGGAGCAGTCTACAAAGCCAATGCC